AATGCAAAACAAGTTGTTGGAACGAACTGTCATGTTTTTAAAATCCTCTCAGACGTAAATATAGAGGCTGGCACCTGTTTTCACCCAACTCGTCTAAATATTCCTCTCGTCTGTCTGAAAAACATTTTCAATCTGTTCCATAACATTCTTGCTGTTTTTCTGACTCCTAGTGACCTCTTACGTCACAAAAACACACCCCTGTCTGGTCGATATTGACCAATCAGGAACCTCCCAAATGAACCGGAAGTAGAACCCTTTAAATGTCGGTACTTCCTAGTTCAAACGAGTCGCTTCAGGCTCCGGCTTCAGTCGTTGCAGCTCCAGTGCTGGGAAACAGGAAAATCCCGACATGATCCAGAGCTCTTCCGAGTATTGTGGGATTATGACATCTTCCACCTCTGAGTGGAACTTCTGAAGGACTCCACTCATGTGAGTCCACTCGTGAGGTGAACCGTGTCGGACGGAATACCGTCGCTACTTCGGACGATTCACAGCTGTTCCTACGGAGACGCTTAAAGGGTGCGTTAAATGGAACTCCGTCCCGTGGAGACGACATCTCCAGGTAAAAGAGTTGATTTATACCACCTAAGTGTACTGGGGAAGAAGCTGGGAACTCACCGGAGAGTGCCGTTCTGATGCCGACACAAACATTTCCCTCGTCCATCTTTATCTCTTTCAACTTGAACTTCATTTCCCATCTTTAAAATTCTTCTATCTGCTAGCAAATTAATCCAGATATTTTTAGAAATGTCTGTGTAAATCTAAAAAAGTTAAATCTGGTCCTCTGGACATTCAAAAAAACCCAAAACAAAGCAAAACAACAAAAAATGTAGAAACGTTTCGTCTCTCGTCCGAGAGACTTCTTCAGTCTGAGGTGCTGTTTTCAGCTCAGTCTCTTAAATAGCACCTTCTCAGAGTGGATCAACCAGTTTTGCTGCTGACAACCAAAACCAACTGATCACATGCTCAAGAAGGACCATCAGCCTAACAATGGATCATTAGCACACTGATGGCTGTGTACTATTCACAGAGGGCTGAGTGATACTAGCAATCACAGCATTGTAAGAGGGGGACAATTGAACACGTAGGCCTCCACCCCTGTTTAATGATGGACGGTTTCTTTTCACAAAGATGGCCTCCTTTACTCCCCTCTCAAACCATCTTTCCTCTCTATCCAGGATGTGCACATCTTCATCCCTGAAAGAGTGACCGCTGGCCTGGAGATGAGTGTAGACCGCAGAGTCCTGGCCTGATGATGTTGATCTTCTGTGCTGGGCCATCCTTTTGGCCAGTGGCTGTTTTGTTTCCCCGATGTAAGACTGATCACAGCCCTCCTGACACTGAACAGCATACACAACATTACTCTGTTTGTGCCGGGGGACTGGATCTTTGGGATGAACCAGTCTTTGCCGTAATGTATTTTGGGGTTTAAAAGCCACTGGGACGTTATGTT